CCCAACTCTCCAGCCTGTCTAAGTCTCTCTGAATGGCAGCACAGCCTTCTGGTGTGTCAGCCCCTCCTCCCAGCTTAGTGTCATCAGCAAACTTGCTGAGGGTACATTCTATACCCTCATCCAGGTCGTTGATGAAGATGTTGAACAACACCGGTCCCAGTACTGACCCCTGTGGGACTCCACTAGTCACACACCTCCAACCAGATTCTGCCCCATTGACTACAACTCTCTGGCTCCTTCCTTTCAACCAGTTCCTGATCCATCTCACTACCTGATCACCAAACCCATACTTGATCAGCTTATCTACAAATTTCTATTTTTGAATTTCTGAACAAATGCACATGACTGTGCAATAGATGAAGTTATGCTGGCATTTTTAGATAGAGAAGAAATAAATGTATGTTAAATGTCCAAGTCTTTGTTGCTTGTTGTATAATGTAACAGTGTGGTTTGGTACTACTTCCCATCTCATAATAACTTCTCTTGTGCACATAGTACTGGGCAGTTGACATTTTGTATCTCTGAGCAAGCTGAACCCAAAATGTTGTAGAAAATCTTATTGTAAACTTTGCATTGTCTTGAAAATATACTGTAGGTTTAAATGACCATTTTTAGGATTTTCTCCTCAATACCTGAGAGAAAAAATATTAAATCATAAAATCATTAGGTTGGAAAAAACCTCTTCTGCCCAGGTTAACAAGAAGGCCAATGACATCCCAGCCTGAATCAGAAATAGTGTGGCTAGCAGGAGCAGGGAAATGATCGTGCCCCTGCAATCAGCACTGGTGAGGCCGCAGCTTGAGTACTGTGTTCAGTTCTGCACCCCTCACTGCAAGAAGGACATTGAGGTGCTGGAGTATGTCCAGAGGAGAGCTACCAAGCTGGTGAAGAGTTTAGAAAACAAGTCATATGAGGAGTGGCCAAGGGAAATGGGGATGAAGAAATTCTGAGAGGAGATCTTCTTGCTCTCTACAACTACCCAAAATGAGGTGGTAGCGATGTGGGGGTTGGTCTCTTTTCCCACATTACAAGTGATAGGTCAAGGGGAAATGGCCTTAAATTATGCCAGGGGAAGTTTGTATTGGATACTAGGGAAAAATTCTTTACTGAAAGAGTGGTCAAGCATTCAACACGCTGCCCAGGGAAGTGGAAGAGTCACCTTCCATGGAGGTATTCAAAAAACATATAGACAAGACACTTCAGGATATGGTTTAGTTGGCATCATGATGTTGGGTTGAAGTACTGCTTTTTCTTGAAGGAAGTTGATGATGACAGTTATACTGAAGGATTTGACTGCAAATAATGTTTGAATTCTTCTTTCTTGTGATCTGAGAAAAAATCCTGAGACAACTTATTTAAAATATGCAGTATAATACTAGCTTGAGCAATAGTAAGTTATCACTAAGTCTTGTGACTTGTCTTCCTTGGATAAAAACTGTGTATTTCAGGACACATTTCTACCTATAATTGCTTTGTAAAGTCTCCAGACATGAAAAAAACTCACAACAAACCTGTAACAATATATTATCAACAATATAGTGACCTAAGTGCTACTATCAACATTACTAAAATTATTATAGTAATAATGAAGACTACCTCAAGGTAAAATACTACCTCAGCACTCTT